GTCCATATGGTCGAGAGCCCAAATTTCGGCTCCGTAAAGTACCGTTGGAGCAACGATACTGTCAAAGAGGTGTATTCTTGATTGCCAAGAGTCTGATTTGGCTTTTGACAATATTGAACAGGCTGTTCCTGTCGCCGTTTTAGCTTTACGGAGTGCTGCTTCGGACGCTTGTCCTCCTTGGGTTGCGCTATCAATGGTGGTACCTAAGTAGTTGTAGAAGCTCGTGGTTTTAATTGGCTGTCCTTTATAACGGAACACATTTTTTTCCTTTTGCCTAATTCTTCCCGTGGCTCGGCATACCATGACTTGGGTTTTTCCTGTGTGGACAGTGAGTTTGTTTTCTTCAAAGTATTCTTCTAGGGTGATGAGCAGCTTTTTGGCCTCAATGAGGGAGGCAGCAAAAAAGGCTCCATCGTCTGCGAAGAGGAGGGCAAGTAGGGTTTTTTTGCCAATGTTAAGCCCCTTGAAGCCTTTCTTCTCGAGGAAGTCTATCAGGTCAGCGATATAGAGGATAAAAAGGGTGGGACTTAAACTGTCCCCTTGAAGCACACCTTCCGTGATGTCGAAGTCTTTGGAGATATTTCTGTCAACTCTGAGGTGGGCTTTAGCATTAGCGTATATCGCTCTGATGGTTCGGATTATCCTACCGCTGATACCAATTTTGAGCAGTTTTTTCCATAGGAGGTGATGAGGAACTGAATCAAAAGCCCTGGTGAAGTCAACGAAAATTATGTAGACTGCATTACCTTGATGTCTTATTTTGGATTGGAGCGCTGTCAGCATGGTGAAAGTTTGGTCCAAGCAGCTTCGGCCTTTTCTGAATCCCGCTTGTTCTTCGGGGACTAGCTCATGATTTTCCATCCAGGTATTAAGCCGTTTTTGGATCAGACTAGTTAGTATTTTGAGCAGATTGTTTAGCAATGCGATTCCGCGGTAGTTGGACGGGTCGTTCCGTGTTCCTTTTTTGTGTATTAGTGTAATTGCTGCTGTTGGCCAGGAGGATGGGATTTGTTCCGAGTTCCATATTTTGTTCATCAGCTTCGTGAGGTAGGTGATCCATTGTGGCGGTAAATGTAAGTGTTCATTTAATATTAAGTCCGGGCCTGGGGATTTTTTATTCTCGCTCTTTATAACTGCTTTTCTGACTTCTTGGTATGAAAAGTCATTGTCGAGGAAGGGGTGTCTCACATCGATGAAGTTGGGGTCATCGTATATTCTTCGTGGGTATACGGTGGAGTAAAATTCTTCCCAGTTGTTTAGAGGTATTGGACATGGGGCTTGTGCGGGTCTTCTTAGAGCTTTGACGACTTGCCAGAACTCGTTAGGGCGTGAGATACGCGCTAATGCGTCTCTCAGCGAGCGAAGATGGTTCTTAATTTTTTCTTTCTTTGCTTTTTTAAATTTTTTCTTGATCTCTTGCAGAATCACCAGGTTGTGTGGGGTGAATCCCGTATGTCTGCATATTTTTTGCTGGCTAGCCAGGGTCGACTTTAGTAGCTTCAGCTCGTCATCATCCCATGGTTTTTTTGGCGCTGTTCTTGTCGTTCGATGGTTGACATAAGTTGTTAGACCAACTGTGTTAGCAGCTTCGTAGATTGCGGCGCGGAGGTTGGCTGCTAATGTATCTATACTGGCGTCTGTATAGATGAGATCAAGTCTGTGTGAATGATAGAGAGTTTCGGTGTATTCCAGAGCTTTTTCTGCTTTCCAGATTGGTTTTTGATAGTTGGAATTTGACGGTGTGAATTTTTTGCATGGGTTATTGTGGGTAGAGCTGATAGATGCGTAGATGGGGAAGTGGTCGGAGCAGAACGAGTCGTCTCCCACTTTGAAAGATGAGACAAGTTTGGCGGCTTCGTGATTAGTCCATATCAGGTCTACTACGCTTGTACCACTAGATCCATAGAAGGTTAGTTTGCCCCTGTTGTCTTCCTCTGTTCTTCCGTTGATTAGAATGAGGTCATTATTGGACATGTGACTTAAAATTTGTAGACCTCGGGAGGTAGTTACGGCATCTTGCGAGCTTCTTGAGGGGGATAGTATCGTGTCTCTAAGAGCTTCGGGTGGAAAATCGCCGTCTTGTTCACCAAGTCGAGCGTTAAAGTCCCCACCTAGTATAATTGGAGTATTTGGAGATGAGCTTTCACATTTGTCTAGGACGAGCTGGAGGTCGTCTAGTAAACCCTTGAGTTCAAGGTCTGGTTTGAAATAGATTAGTCCTAGTATAATTACGTATGGTGGTACTCTTGCTTTGATAAAGATCCAGTGGTTGTTTGAATCTATTATGTTATGCTCGATTTCTTCTTTGATTAGTACTAGCAGGCCTCCGCTGGCTCTGCCTTTGTTCGCTGTTTTAGTTGCGTTAGACCAGATACACTTGTAGCTTCTTGTCCAGGATGGTTGCGTGAGAGGGGGTCGAAGTAGCCAGGTTTCAGAGATACCGATGAAAAAGGATTCCTTTGGGATCATTAGGTTTTCACAGTTGTTAAATCCATGACAGTTCCAGAATAGAATGGTATTGAGGTGATGGCTCTCCTTCCTGTTAATTTTTAGTTTTTTGTAGTGGTATTGCGGACTATAGGTTCTTTCGGGTGCGAGGTGAGGTGGGTTGTGGACTTTTCGTTCCACTTTTTGGCGCTTTTATCCCAAGTTAGGATTTTACCGTCCAAGAGTATTTTTTTTGATTTGAGAGTAGAGTTGGTTCCTTTTTCTCTTTCTTCTGATAGTCTTTTTCTTATCTCATATGCTTCTTGTTGTTCCAGAGGTGTTAGATCATTGTCTATAAATATGTTGGTGTTGTTCAGTCTCAGTTTCTTAGCTTTCATGATCTTAGATTTATGTTCTGGGTTGTCGAAGCATACCACGAAGCGATCTTTCTTTCTTCCTATTTCTTTAAATTTCTTGCATTCTTTTTTTGGGATCTCAAAGGTAGACTCAAGGAATGATGGTATGTCTTCCATCGGATTGGAAGGAGTTAGTCCTTTAATGACAAGGTTATTTCTTCGTGCTAGGCTTTCTTGTCTTTCTATCATTCCGTTGAGTCTATTTAACTGGGCAAGGACATCAGAGTTTACTTCCTTAGGTATATTGGAGTTCAATGATTTTTCGACGGCCTCGATTCTGGAAATAAGTGGTGTTAAAGATTCGTCGAGACAGATTTGAGAGGAACCACACTTACCAGATTCGACCTCAACAAGTCGTTTTTTAATTTCCTCTTGCTGTACCTTTATGTTCTGCACTTCATCCGAGAGGACAGTATATTTATCATCCAGAGTTTTGAGATGGACGTGTATTGAGTTGGAAGACTCCTTGACGGTGTCTTTGATTTGGGAGAATTGGGTTTGATTGGTTTTGAACATATTAATAAACTGTTCGGCAATCCATTTGAAGGAGTCCTGGTTAGAGATGTAAGTGAAGTCAGGCATATCAATCGATGTCTGTTGTGCATCTTTGGAGGCAGGTAAATCCATGATATTGCTTGATGGATTTTTTTCGGGTGAGACTGAAGGGGAGGAGTTATGGCGTTTTAGTTGCTTCGTAGGGTTTTGGAAGAGCTCCGGAAAGATTTCTGGTGGTTCTCTGGGTCTCTTGTGACCAGTTAGCAGTTTGTCGATGTCTCCTAGAGAGTTCGATCTTTCTCGGAGTCTGAGTTCAGCGATGGTTGGTCTGCCTTGTTTCTTTTTTGGTTCAGGAGTTGTTAGAGGTGACTGTTTGCTGGAAGTAGCCGGCAGAAGAGTCTTCGGAGACGGATCTGTGATGTTAGTTGCAAAAGCTAGCAACGTTTGTTTTGACATGACAGCTTAACAACCTAACCTCTCAGTGAGGCCGCATTATGTTTAAGCTCTAGGACGCAATTTTTCGTGATAATACGTCAAAATTTATTTTATGTTTCACTACACAACCACTATCAAAATGTTTTAACAGTGCCACACAAATTTTATTGTAAGTAATTTAATATAACAATTTAAATTAACACGAGTGTAAAATTTCACGTGGTTATCAGTTGGCTTTCGCGCATGCGCTCCCAAATCAAAATAATTATTAATTATAAAAATTTTCTAACAATGACAGTAATCTATTTTTTTTTAAGAAAATCACCATTTTGTTTATAAAAATAAAATTCGTGACATAGTTATTCCTATACATCATGTATATTTTAGCTACGATCCGACTCTTTAAATTTTGCACATACACAGGGTATGTATTCTGTGAGTTATCTCTTTGTGTCGAGTAGTAGGGGCATTACTGATGACACTATAGTCGACAGACATCAGACAATTTTTGATATTTTTCTTTTGCTAAAGAAATTGTAAAAAAATAAAAAAAAATTAAACATGCCAAACGTTTGAAAAATTATACGTGCAAGATTTTAAAACATTTGTTTTATTTAAATTTAATTGATGAAAAATACTAAAAATTGTCAAAGTTTTGCTGACTTCAGTATGATGGTTTATTCCTCGTTTTTTGTCTTTTTTCCTCTGACTGGGTTTTCGCCTAGCTGACCTTTGAATGTCCCGTATAGTATAGCCAATGTGTTTGTAGTCTTTATTGCTCTCGATTTGGCGGCTGAATTTCGGTTTCTCTCGGTACTTTTCGGCTTTCCGAGATACCAACATTCACTTTTAACGTTGTGTGACTCGAGAAACACCAGTCGGGTGTACTGTTTTATAAGCACGCGTTTTCTCAGCGTAATCAAAAATAAAAGGATTTCTGTTTCTGTTAATGTAAAATAAATTTTTCAACTATTATTTATTAATATTCGTTAAACTGCATTACTGAAATTATCATTTATTTTAATGATATTCCAACATTTTATTTGTAAATTGTGAATGTTGACAAACAATAAAAAAAAATAAACTTTGTGATGTGTATATAAACGTGTAAATTAAAACAACTTGACATTAGTTTTATTATAATTTACAGTGTTAATCAAAGCTGCAGTGCTTATACTATTATTATTCATTAAATAACCTAAGTGATAACAAAAGTGAAATTTAAGTATGAAGCGAGGTCCATATAAATTATATTTAACCCCGGAGGGTGACGGCATTTTACCTCGGTCAACATTTTATAGACATTTGAAGAAATTTCGCTCTGCTGTAAGTTAAAATTTATATGACATTTAATTTAGCTGTCACTTCACAATTTTTTAACATTATTTAACCAAAGAATTATTTTTGAAAAATAGCATTTTTAATTTTTTTTAAATTTCTAAGTGTTAATTTTTTTTTCGTTATTATTGAAGTATTACAAAAATTCTTAAAATTATCAAATAAATTCTAAATTTTCATAAATTTTTTTTAATTCATGATAATATTTTTGATCTTGATATTTACCAATATTCGGACTAATGTAACAATTTTGAGAATTTTAATTCTATCAATATTTTTTAATTTTCATATAAGATATATTTGTCATTGTTATTCACTGTTAAATTTCTATTTACAAGAGTATTTATTGTCATGACTGCATAGCTATTAATATTAAAATTAAGTTTCTTTTTGAATTAAAAAATTTAAAAAATCGTAAAAATCATGATGAACGTATTGGTTTAAAATATTATGAAAGCAATGTTAAGGAAAATATTTAAAAAATTATACGATCTACTATGAGACATTGGTGAGCACTGTTTGCTAAATTTTCATTCTTTTTTAACTTATTGACTTGTATATATTTTTATTGAATACTACATTTTTTTACTGATATGTACTGTAGGTTACATTCGACAATAATCACGTTAGCAGTCAAAATATTTGCGATCAAGAAACAAAAGCAAATAATCCATTGGATTTGGACGCAGTTCCCGAGCATGGAAACTTATCATCAGAAACTGTGGATAGAACTGAAGTTTCTTACTTTCACGATCTAAACTTCAAACGTTCTTCATCAAATTCATGGCTTTATGAAGACTATGATGATGAATCATTACTTGAAGAAATTTGGTTTGATGTGAGTTAATGGTATTTATTTAAAGAGTCAAAATTTTTAGATATTAATTTTTTTTTTTTATTTCCCTAGGCTGAAGATTCATCATTGACAGATGATTTCTATGTGGATTACAATAATGAACATAGTCAGGTATATTTTACAATGTAATAGTTTTAGTTAAAACTGTTTTGTTTATGGTATGAAATATTTTCAATTTAACCTTATGTGTAAAAAATTTTCGTCAAATACTTATCCAGTAGCTCGCACGGTAGTTGAGTTATTAAATTACTCCCCATGTAATCACGAAAACCTGATAGTCGCACCTTACTCTCGATTGATATTTATATTTTTGCACCGCAAAAACATTTGTGAATTTAGTGCGGTAAAAAAGTTACACCAAAAAAAATATTGAATGTAGGTGTACATTTTAAATTTTAAATTGTACAACATAAAAATTATTTATCATAGTTTCATACTAACGCAGTTGTGTAAAGTTCTCAGAGTAAATTGTTACACTAAAATTTTTTACAGTATGGACGAATTCATTGGGTTAGAAAGAATGATTCAAAATAATTATCAATATTTTCTGTCTCAGTTTATCAAGAAAGAACAAAAATACTTATAATTCGAATATTTCCATAGTTAAGTTTGAAGATGAGTCGAATTTATTGATAAACTCTAGTACATTAGCCACTTAACTTTTTTGAAATGTAACAAAAGTTGAATTGTTTTTACTTGACTCTAGAAAAACAATTATTTGAAAGACTAGAGTTTCTAAAGAATTTTTTTTCGTATTTCTTTATTTTTTATTTTTCTTTTTAATTGCAGTAAGGAATATTTTATTTCAAAAGCATACAGTACTTGCTTCTGAAATAAATAGTAAATTACTTGTTAAAGCATAAAAGCTGCATCGGAAAATTGTTGACATAAGATTAAAACGAAATTTAATTAGTTAAAATTAATATTTGAGCTATCCCATGTTCAAACGATCAGTAATTGGAATCGAGACTTTTGATGAAATTTAGTTAGGGACATTTTTTCGCAGGACACTGGCATTTATAAAATAGTAACTCAATATTCATTTTTTTGGCAAAATCGTAATTAAGAATTTTTTTATAACCTGCAAATGAAAAAACGCTTAAAAACCATAAAGTTCCATAGTTTTATGTATTAATGATTATATACAATGAAGAATTTGATAGATAGCATTATAATATACCAAGTATTAAAAATCAAAATCTTATATACAATTATGTATGCAAACCATTTTTAATTTGTTTCGTCAATACATTAAGATTTTTTCTTTATAAAAAAGGAATCAAAAAGATTATAGTTTTATAAAAACAGTATAACATCAATATTGAAATTTATTTCAATATAAATTTAATGCCAGCAAGAATGTTCAATTTTCATTCTAAAATTAATGTCACTTTCATTATAAGTAGAGAAAAAAAATCTTAAGTATTAACAATCGATAAAAAAAATCATATCTAATGACTTAAAAAGTACACTTTATTATACTATTAATTCAAATAAAAAATAATACAAAACAGGAAAGAGAACCTTATTCATTTTAATATTTTATCGTTTTTAAAGCATAGTGAAAAAAAATCTATGTTAAAAAAGATTAGCAATATCATAATAAGAAATCAAAATTTTGAACAATTGTATTTCTTAGCTGAAAAAATCAAAATTTATCTCACAGTAACTTTTTTATTAAAGAAAAGATTTCTAGATTTTGAAAAAAAAGTTTTAAATAAAATTTTGAAAGTTAATTATCTGTTTGAAATAATTTATTTCCCAATCAACAAAAAATTTAGTCAAGAAGTAAGTTACTGTGAGATAAATTTAGATTTATTCAGTTGAGAAATTATATTGTTGTAGATATGCAACAAATTTTTTTTTGTAACAATATTGTCTATTTAAAAATTATACTTTATACATGGGTTGCAAAAATATTTCTTTTGGGTTTCTAAAAATAAAGAAATTTATATCTTTAACACAAATAATACTACCTGAAGAACTTTTTAATAATTTGAGATTTGTTAAAGAATAATTGAAAAAAATTGATTGAAATTAATGCTGCCATGTGATTCTATGATTATTTAAATTTTCAAATTCGATCAATTTCTGATTTGTCAAGATTTGTTTGATTATTTCCGCAAGTATTCTCTTTAACTTGAGGCCAAAAATATTGTTGTACCTCTAAAAGTTGTTAAGAGACATTAGAAAAACTGCCATTGAATTGTATAAATATGTCTACGAGAATGTGCTTTGATAATTATTTCTCTATGTGACAAGCATGCTTGTTAACTTTCCGCTAAGAAAATAGAAAATTTTTTTTTAATTTTTATTAAAAAAAAAAAATAAATTCAATTCAATGTAGGTTGCTTATATGTGGATGGCCCCTAGTTTTAATTGTATCGATATGTTAGAGCTGCAGCAGTTCAACCAATAAAATAAATGGCAGAAATTTATATTGCAATAATTTACTTAGAAATACATTGAATTTGACAAATAAAGGTCTTTAATATTCATATGAAGTGAAAATATATCGTAAAATTCGTTCTACAAGCTAATAATTCTTGACGCTATTAGTTTAGAATAATTCACGTGACAGTAACATCAAAGAATATCAATTTATTGCTTGATATATAATTTTTGAGAAGATACATTTGCTAAGAAATGTATGGCAATTTTTTAAGATAAATATTTTTTTGAGTGATGTGCTGGAATCTTCCTCATTACTCATTATTTAAGTAATCTGAATAATATTTTTCAAGTAATTAAAATTGTAAAGTTATGAGAAATAAAATTAGCTTTATACAAGGCGAATAATATACAATTATGTATTAATTATGTTTTTGTTAAAAATTCTATTGATCATTTTTTTTTGTTGAATAAATACTTTTTAATTTAAATATGCTTTCGACAAATTTCTGAAAACTATTACTCTATAGTAATTTACAGAGTATCTTTTATCGTTTATTTTTGTTTAAATTTTAAACGATCTTTCAATATCTTTAATAATTTCGGCTAATTTAAATAACTTAAGAAACCATAAAAAAAAAACTGAATGACTAATTTTTATTTTTTTTTTCACAGCAAAAAGATGAGGAAAAAGACGCTAGTTTCGATTATAATAGACCACTATGTAAGTGTACGACAATCACGCAGGGAGAAGCTCTAATGATGACTCTTGCACTAGGAGTTGAAGAATCTCTAACATGGAAAACTATTGTTGGGATATTATCCATGATTAATACGTTATTCGAAAATGACGTAGTTCCGTCATCAAAATATAAGTTATTTAAAACTTTAAAACTAAGTGAAGATATTCTTGCTTACCATGTATATTGTAGGGACTGCCATCACTACTTTGGCTCTCAAGATAAATTTAATAAAAACGGATTACAGTGTCCAATTTGCGACAATAGTGAGAAATCGCCAGATATTTCATATTTTTTGACGTTTGACATCTCCTTACAGTTGAAATCAATATTAGAAGATCCCAAAGTGCAAGAAATATTTCTGGCTAATCTTCAAGATAAAGAAAATAATGAAAATAACAATGATCTTCAGAGTATGAGTGATGGCCAGATATATAAAAAATTATCTACAACAAATAAGCCGTTATCACATAAATATAATTTTTCATATACTTTCAATACTGATGGTTGTCAACCATCAAAATCCAGCAAGCTTTCTATTTGGCCGATCTATGCAAGTATTAACGAGCTGCCTTTGAAACTATAATCTAAGTACATGATTATGACTGGTTTATGGGTCGACAAAAAAGAGCCAGATATGTTATTATTTTTGCAACCATTCGTTGATGCAGCGAATAAACTATCAGACGAAGGTGTAGAATGGAAATTATAACAACAAACAATAACCAGCAAGTTTATTCCCATATGTGCCGTAGTAGATTCTGTGGCAAGATGCAAAATTTTAAATATGAAGCAATATAATGGTTCTTACGGTTGCACATTTTGCGAGCATCCGGGATTGCGTATGAACAACTCTCAAAAGTTTCCAATAACAACGGTTGTTCCAAAAGAACGAACCAACGAATCAGTTAAAGAACAAATGCTTCTTGCTGGTGAAAGTGAGTTTGGTAGTGATGTCATGGGTGTGTGGGGACCGTCAGCATTAATAAATCTGAATTATTATGACATTGTTGATGGGATGTCACCTGATTATATGCATGCTATTTTATTAGGTGTAATAAAACAGCATACTGAAATTCTACTGTCTTCATTCGGTGAAGATTACTATGTAGGAAGTCCGAACCAACTTGAAGCAATTAATATTAAACTTTTAAACTTTAAGCATCCTACGTGTATAACTCGATCCCCAAGAAATTTAACAGAGCGGGAAATGTGGAAAGCAACTGAATGGAGATCATGGCTTCTTTTCTATTCACTTATATGCTTAAAAGATATTCTTCCCCAGAAGTATTTAGAACATTTAGCTCTATTGGTGGAAGCTATGTATATTTTATAATCTGATCGAATTAATTCTGATGAGCTAGATACAGCTGACTCTTTGATTTTGCGATACGTAGTCTTGTATGAAGAATATTTTGGTACACAAGCAATGACATATAATATTCACCTATTATTACATTTGATCAAAAGTGTAATAAAATTAGGTCCGTTACGGTGTCACTTTCATATTTGAAAATGAAAATCACTTTCTAATGAAATTGCAAAAAAGTCCCAATAAAATCCTTATTCAAATTGCCAGACGGTACATGTTCCAGAAAGCATTAACACCATTGAAAAATAAAATTAATACAAGCAATCAATTCTCTCAATTTTGTGAACGGAATTTGACAGGTCGATTGAAAAATACTTTTGAAGTGGACGGCTGCATACTGATTGGGAAAGGTACAAATTATAATTTAAACGATAACGAGCGAAAACTTGTAAATAGATCTGAAACATGTAAATCATTTAATAGATTTATTTACAACGGCAAGAGATATACATCGAAAAATTACCGAGCATGCGCAAAAACAAATGACTCTATAATATCATTGGAAAATGGAAAAATAGGAATAATTAAAAACGTTTGTCTTTTTAATTCAGATAAAGGAGAAAAAAAAATTTACATATTTTTTGAGGAAGTAGTAAGATTAAAAAAATACTTCCATTCATCACGATATGTTACTGTTAATAATATTGAAGAATGTTTAATTACTGAAGAGTTAAATATTTGTGAAGCAAAAATGATATCGCAACCGTGTATGTTAACTCCAGTAAAAAACAAACATTATGTGATTTTTATACCACCAGGATGTTATGGTTATTAAAAAAATTATACATAAATAGTTGAGTAAATCTGGCCAAAAAATGCCTTAATCGTGTGTGTAAGCGTAGAGTTAATAATATTAGCATTAAGGATATTTTTTTGTAAACAAAATAATGTTTTTGATAATTAGTGATTTATTAACTTATAAGTAAATTATGTTCTATACTATATTTTTATATACCAAATAAAATTACATGTAAAAATATTGATTTTATTAACACAGATAAAGTTAACAGTAGCTAAACAAGGTAGGTTTGATGCCCCGATAAAGTAGATTTCTGCATTACCGACGGCTGTTGGTGGAGTTTCTGCGATATCGATGGTGGGTTTTTTGTGCTCTATTTACCGACTGTTGTGGGGATTATCGTCGATTTGTTGGTCGATATTTACCGACTGTTATGGGGATTATCATCGATTTGGTGATCGATATTTACCGACTGTTGTGGGGAATTATCATCGATTTGTTGGTCGATATTTACTGACTGTTGGGTGATTATCATCGATTTGTTGGTCGATATTTACCGACTGTTGAGGGTGATTATCATCGATTTGGTGATCGATATTTACCGACTGTTGGGGGGATAATCATCGATTTGTTGATCGATTGTTTGAGGTCAAAATGCTACCACCTCAACAGCAGAGCTGATACCTTTACCATGTATCAGCTTTGGTGTTGATGTGATATGCACTTATTTGATGTGATGATGAATTTTGTATATATTCAAATGACTTGTAGTATAAGTATATGCGAGAAAGATCGATACTTACATCGCTCTGGTGGGATGAAATGTAGGTATTGAAGTCTGATTATCGATTTGAGGTAAGTTTTATCGACAGTCTGATGTCAACTAGTGATCTATGTTATCGACCGTTGGTATTATACCGAGTGATGCTCTGTTTTGTCGATGTGGGATAAGAGTTTTTTGAATTTTAACGTTTTTTACCTCCTCTCTTCTCTCGATTACGCCATGTTTTTACGTCATCCGACAAGTTTAAACCTGTTTTTGGCGTTGTCATCATCGTTGGGAGGGGAGCGTTGGTGGGGAGTTATACTTACTTGCCTCCAAATTTCAGTTTTCTGCTTGCAATCATTTGAATCAGTTTTGTTATCCATGGATAAATTGACTGATATCGAACGCGCATTTCTCAGAAGTCAACCACCTTACTGGGAGGATTTTGACGATTTAATAGAAAGTTATTTTGGTGACATTCCACCTGAGGATATCGGGATATTTGTGGGGAAAATTATTGATTTGCATAAAAATTTAGAGGTGATTAAAGCTGCTCGCGAAAAAGTGAACTGTTCGAATTGTGCTGATCGACTTGAAATAACCAAGAAACTAATAGAAATAACTGACAACTTAGTTAAAACTGCGCATACAAAAGTATCTTGTTCTCATTGTGTGGATAAACTACATCTAATTGACGACTTACTTAAAACTGCGTATACAAAAGTATCTTGTTTAAACTGTGTGGATAATCTTAATTTAAACCAAAAACTGTTAGAAATTACACAGAAGTTTCAAAAACTGGAATTACGTTTCGTTTAACAGTAACTCTACAATGAACCGTAAACGATTGAGGTAATTTTTTTTTTAAATCATTAATTATATTAAAAATTTACGTATTTTGTTTCTAAGAATTTTAATTTATTTCAGACTTCACTCATGTGACGATTCATGTGATCATTCTGCGCAAATCGAGTTCGATGAAGTAAGTGCTTCATCCAGTGATAGTGAAACTTCAAGTGAAGCTTCTATCGAAGCCCCGAGTGAAGCTTCTATCGAAGCCCCGAGTGAAGCTTCTAGTGAAGCATCTACAGAATCTTTTTGTAATTTTGAAATTTCCACGGAAAGCGTTGTTTGTATAGTTGAAGAATGTTTTTTCGGTGATAGGAAAGTTAAAGTAACATCTTATCATTTTAAAAACTTTTTAGTAACGAGCTATAAATATTCCGAAGACGATCCGGATAGTCCACCAATTGAGGCTAAAGTTATAATTCTTTAATTGACCAATTAAAAAAAAGTGAAATATGGAATGCTTAATTGATTTTACCGGTTATATTATGCCAAACGGATCATTTACGGTCAAAGAATTTTGCATCACCGAGATTACTGATGAATATCAATTCAATGGTGTTTATGAGTGTGACTATTATTTATTTAAGCCTCCAATGACGATTACTGGTGCATCTGTTATTAAGCAAAATCTCGACTATAATGGACGTCGTCATGGAATTAGCTGGGATGTCGGTAAAACTGCGTATAATGTGCTTGGGGAAATTTTAAAAAATTTAACATGCTATTGGTGCTATTTATTGTAACGGAGTACACGGGGCCTTCTTTACCCAGAGGAGGTTTCCGATCCGTGAGTTAGTTATCGACTGATTCCCCAGAGCGCTGTGCTCCGAAGTACTCGCGCCTCTAGTTGTAAGTTAGTGAGTAAGTCCCCAAGAGGGAAGCGCCGGCGCGGAGAGTGAGTGGGGAAGACGGAGCGAAGAAAGAAACGCACCGACACAGCTGAGAAAAGTCATTGTGACCGAGTCGCCAAACCGCGTGGACACACAAATTAAGTAAAAACACCATCAAACAGGTAATTATTTATTTGTCGCCTTTCGTACAGTGGAACGAAGCGATCAAACTTATTCATTTATTGCTTGCCAGGCCTTTAGTCGGCTTGCGTAAATTAATCTTAAATTCTAACAATTTCTAATGCTTGATTGCGGTTTCAGACTCATAAAATATTTGGAGAAACGAGTGACGGTGACCGAGGTCTCGCGGCCAAGCAGAGTTTTTCCACTGAGGAGGAATTTGTACCAGAACAGACGTGAAGGAGTTGCTGCTCTTCGAGGGAGCTCGCCAGCGCCTCAAAGAGAAAAGCCCCAGGTATAAATAAAATGTCTCAATAATCCCTCGGTGGTGCGGCATCAGCCAGGCATTGAAGTCGGCTAAAGGTCACCGCCACTTCGCGTTCGGTCACAATCATTAGTTTAAGTATTGTATCGTAGAATTTACTTAATTATTATGTGGAAATTTATTTATTAGAATTTACTCGGTATATTATTTGGGATACTATTTAAAATATTATTTAGAAAATGTTTGAGAATTTATTGGAAATAAGAGGCAGAGTTTATTTAAGAATTTATTTGAGAGAAAAGTCCAGAATAAAAATTAGACTAAAATTAAAAGCAAGTCAAGAATAATTACTAAATAATTAATTAACAAAACCAGGAATAATTTCGGTTGGTCAATTTATAACTTTGGTGCCATGTAAAACAAATTGTCGTTGATAATCGAG